AAATGCCGGACAGGGACACGTGTCAAGCGCTCATTGGCCGAGGGGTCACCTCAACTGGTTGGCGCTGGCAGCCGCATGTGGCCGCATTTAATGCGGCTGTTGGATGGGACGTCTGTGTAGGGTACGGTGATCTGTACGCATGTGAGGCGGATATCTTGTCGAGTGAGATGCCTTCGGCCATAGAGCAGTAACCGAAGGCTCCTCCAATCGAGGGCACCGTGGTGCCGAGGGCTCACAGTACCGAGGGCTACTGTTTTCGCCGTTTTCTCCCAGTTTCTTAGTTTGCTTGAGAAACCCGTTCTGTGAGAGTTTAGACAAGGGGTGGATTCGGGCCGGGTCGGGCCCGGGCCGGGCCTAGGCCCGGTCGGGCCGCCGGTTCTAGAATAGTGGGCCCGGGACCGGCCCGAGGGTTGGACGGGTCCGGTTCGGGCCGGGCCACCCGGCCGGGTCACGGGTCGGGCCACCCGCCGGGCCGGGCCGGGTCGGGCTGGGTAATTTTTTTTTTTTTAATTTATATTTTATACTTTATAGTTTTATACAAGTATTAAAAAACAAACTTCAAGTGCATTTATTTGAAATGAAATAGGAACTACATTTGAAAATTAAATAGGAACTATAATTGTTTTTAATCGGAATCTCCGGCATAAGTAGAGCCACCCTCTGTAGATTCATCCATAAAGTGTTGTGATGGAGTGATGTCAATTTCTTGAGCTCTACGTGCTGCTTTCAACCAATCGTGGTAGCATATAAGCATCTCAAGAGATTCAGCGCTCAACCTCGTTCTGGTTTGTGTTAGAACATTGCCGACCGAACTAAATTCTTGTTCCACGGCAACCGTTGAAACCGGCATTGATAGCACTTGCTTAGCCATCTTTGCTAAAACCGGGAACATTCTTTCTTTTCCCTTCCACCAGTTTAGTACGTCAAAATCATCATCTTCTTCAAAATCAACATCATAAGTTAAATACAAAGAAATCTCATTAATTGTGCTTTGTTGTGTAGCGGGAGTTGATTTTGTTTTTTTAATAAGATTGGCAAACGTAGATTTGAAAATTGATTTTCCTTTAGATGATGTTTGTGTCGGGGGAGGGGGCGCATTGCCATATTGTGCATGAAACTCATTGAATAATGCATAAAATATATCACTAACCTCGTTGTATTCTTTTTTCGGATCAATTGGGTTGTCCTCATACATTGGCAATGGACCAAAAAAAGCAGCATAATAATAATTCAAACATTCTTCTAAAGAACCAAGTCTAAAACGAGGATCGAGAACAAATGCAATACCATAAATATGCGAAATATGTGAATAATATTTTAAAAACTTTTCCTTCATAAAACCAGCAAAATAATTCACATAATCAGCATTCTCAAAATTTGAAAAAGCACCGGCGAGATTAACAGCTTCACGAATAAATTGGTTTGAGGTAGGTTTATAAACATGACTAAAAGTTTCAGTTGCATTATTAAAATATATCAAAGCATTACAAATTTTTTCACAGGTGTCGATCTCAGCCGAGTTTATAATATAGTTATCATATTGTTTCATAAAAGCAGGAAAATGTTGTTTATATCTAAGAAGAACTTCAATTAACTTATAGGTACTATTCCAACGAATAGACAAATCTTTTGGAAAAGCCACATATCTCTCACCTCTTTCTATCAAATAATCATGTCATTTTTTCCTAAGGTGTCCATTACCCCAAATACGTCTAATCCCCCCCTTGACTACCTCCAACGATGCTCCCAACGCTTTTAGACCATCTTGCACACATAAATTTAGAACATGACATGCACATCGTTGATGAAAAAATCTACCCATCAAAGAAGTAGAACCACACAATTCACGCAATCTAGGAATAGCAGCAGTATTATTAGTAGCATTATCAAAACCAATAGCAAACACCTTATCAATTAAATTATACTCAATTAAAATACGTTCAATCAAAATATAAATATGTTCAGCGGTGTGACGATCATTAAATTCACGGAAAGCAAGAACACGTTTATGCATATGCCAATCATTATCAATATAATGTACAGTCAGACCCAAATAATGTAAATTATGATAAGTATCCTCCCATATGTCGGAACATACAGTAACACGTCCATCAAAGTTTGCAAAATAATTTTGTAACCTTACCTTTTCCGCACCATAAAGCCTTGAAAGTTCTTTCTTAACCGTTTTGCGACTATAACCTCTATATTGCGGATTTAAACAAGTTTGTGCATAATCACGAAAAGCAAGACTTTCAGAAAACAAATAAGGCAAATTTTCTTCAACAAGTAAGTTAGCCATACCTGTCAAATTTTGTGCATCATTGTATGAGAAATTACCAAAAGCTTGTTGGTTATTTGCAAACCTCGATATTTGCGTTTGTTTCCCCGTTCTGCCGCCTAATTTTGCATACTCTACCGGGTGTTTGGACTTAAGGTGTCTTGTGGCGGATCCGTATCCGCCGGAAATCCCCAAGCTATAGTTTTTCTTGCACCAATTGCAAGTTGCGGTCCAATTCCCGGTGTTCGGGTCCTTCCACTTAGAAAAATTATTAGCCATTAATTCAGATTTACTTTTTTTTGTACCTGTTTGGGATGAGGCTGCTTGGTCGGCGTCATGGCTGCCGCCACCCTCCTCCTCGTCGTCGTCGTGGCTCTCCGGAATTGCTTCCTCCACATCATCGTCCTCGTCCTCGAGCTGTTCTTCGTCAATGGTCCTCGGTTGGTCTTGAAAAAAGCGGGAATTATGTCGGTGCAATTCTTGTTCTAGTTGTTCGTCGGTCATCGCATCCCCATCCCTCCTTACGTAACCCGTATCAAAATCATCTTGACTTTGAGATGAAGAGCCGAGATGTGATTTACCTTTGCGGGATCTCTTCCTCGCAAGCTCGTTCGTTCGGTTGCGCTCGAGGTTACCCATATCAACCGAATATCTAGGACGATCCATCTAAAAAATGTAGCAATTAATAAAAAATTATAAAAAACTAATTAACTATTTATCTAACTATTAATTCGAGTTATAGCAAATTAAGTAGTGAATTAACTAGTTTTGTGTACAACATATTTTTTAAACTAGAGTCAAATGTAGCAATTAATAAAAAATTGTAAAAAACTAATTAACTATTTATCTAACTATTAATTCGAGTTATAGCAAATTAAGTAGTGAATTAACTAGTTTTGTGTACAACATATTTTTTAAACTAGAGTCAAATGTAGCAATTAATAAAAAATTGTAAAAAACTAATTAACTATTTATCTAACTATTAATTCGAGTTATAGCAAATTAAGTAGTGAATTAACTAGTTTTGTGTACAACATATTTTTTAAACTAGAGTCAAATGTAGCAATTAATAAAAAATTGTAAAAAACTAATTAACTATTTATCTAACTATTAATTCGAGTTATAGCAAATTAAGTAGTGAATTAACTAGTTTTGTGTACAACATATTTTTTAAACTAGAGTCAAATGTAGCAATTAATAAAAAATTGTAAAAAACTAATTAACTATTTATCTAACTATTAATTCGAGTTATAGCAAATTAAGTAGTGAATTAACTAGTTTTGTGTACAACATATTTTTTAAACTAGAGTCAAATGTAGCAATTAATAAAAAATTGTAATTCCAACTATATTAATAAAAAATCGTAATTCCAACTATACTAATTAACTAGTAATTAAACAAGTATAAATAATAGAATAATTTCGTACCTCTTTCGGACTTTCGGTCTTTCGGATGGGAGTAATAGAATGACTTCAAATTAATTAGATATAATTCCAACTATATTAATAGATATAATAAATATATAAGTAATATATAATTAGATAACAAATATAAGTAATATAATACTATTTATATCTATTTATAGTTTATATAAGTAGATAATTAATATAAACTATAAATAATAAATATAATATATTGGAGAATGGAGAATAAGAGAATTAGAGAGTAGAGAGTTAAGAATAGGATTTAGGAAGAATTGGAGAAGAGATATGAAAAAATGTTTAAGATTAGGAGTATTTATAGGTTTTTTTACCGCCCACCCCCCCCACCACCCAACCCCCCCGGACCCCCCCTATAACCCACCCAACGGCTATATAGTCGTTTGGGTTGTCCCCAGCCCCACCCCCAACGGCTAGTAGGAGCCCAACCCAAAAAAATTTTTTTTTTTTAAATTTGATCGAACCGGACCCGGGCCGGGTCACAAAATTGCTGAACCGAGCCCGCCCCGCTTCTTCCCCCCGGTTCGGGCCCAGATCCGGTCCCGGACCGCCCGACCGGGCCGGTCCCGGGCCCGCACAGTACCGGGCCGGGCCGGGCCGGGTGGCCCGAACCGAATCCAACCCTAGTTTAGACCCTTCGGCCGGGGGGTCGAAGGCATCCCTGGTGCGTAGTGCAGGCTGCTTGGTACTCTGGGCACTGTGATTTGGGCCTATTGGGCCTTTTGGGCCTGTTGGGCCTTTGCTGGAGTAGTAGGAGTCTGTGGGCCGGGGGTTCCCGGGCCATATACTCCATCAACGTGATTTATATTTTTCTCTTTTTTACATAAATTTCAATGACACGATTTCCACTTTCTTAGAAGCCGTTTGGTAACACTGTTTTTCGGCTTATCCGGCTTATCAGTCAACTTTTCCACCAAACACGTAATTTTTGTTTTCATGCGCTGAATTGTGTAATAATAAGAGAAAGTAAGGTACTCGACCCGTAACCGGTCCGGTCCGGTCCGGCCCTGTACTGTTTCGGGGCGGGCTCTAGGTCTCAAAAAATGAACCGGCCAGTTCAGACCGGGTTGGGACCATTTTTTTTTGTTTTTCAAAATTTGAAAAAGGTAAATGGGTTGGGCTGAGTGTTTTGGACGAGTTTGGGGTGTGGGGGATAGGAAGTAATTAGAAAATAAAAAAAATAGGTAACCGGGCCGATAGGGCCCGACCCGGACCCGGTAGCTACATGGGCCGGTTCCGGGCCTCAAGAATCCCCAAAAAAAAGCTGGTCCGGCCCGGATCCATGCCTAATTGTTCCATCATTGATTCAGAATACTGGTGTCTAGTCCTTCCAATACCACATAGCAGCAGGCAAGGTGAGGGGAACAAAAGCCTCAACAAGTAAAAATGGCTTCATTCAAACATATGCAGTCCTATACAATACAAGAAACAATTATTTGGGGGCTTGCATCTCACCCCCCTGTAGTGCAATTTCTAGTTGCTCCATTCATCCTCAGGATTAATCTGTACAAAATGCTATAGCAGATTTACAAGCCAGCTACTGTGCTTTAATTATGTACTTCCATCTACTCTTAGCTTCTTCTGCATAATTGATTAACTCAGGTTTATCCCTACAATGCCTGCAAAACTTCTCCCCTTTCCTTCTCGCCCCCAAGTCTCGTTGGAAACTTCATCACCTTTACACGAAAGGCAACCTGCACGTTGTATTTCACAAAAACAGACCAAATTCAAACTACAGGTCAAATGCTAGACCAGGGGCAGATCTAACTTAGTCCTGGACCGGACCCGTCTTTAGCCCACGCCTGTCGACACTGAAGCTCGTATACATGATGCAAAATAGTGTCGTTTTAACCACCCAGGTTAGGGTCAGGAAAGTGTTCCTTTTGTAAAGCGTACAAAGGGTACTTTGTAAACGGTACTTTTGTCATATAAAGAAAGTGCTCCTTCCATGCCCTCATCTAAAAAGGGTACTTTTTTCAAATCGACTACATCTCTTCCTTTTATCTTTATTTTTTTTTTGTGTGTTCAAAGTAATCTAACTTCGGATTCCGCGCAATATATGGCCAGAATAGAGAACATATTAAAGGAGACAACTCAATAACAAGGCACTGTAATGGAGACTACGAACTCAACCTTATCTGAGCCAAACTGAATGGTATCTGATGGACGGAAACGAGTTGGAAAGTTGGGAGGCACGCGATAGCATCTACCCTCATTACTGCACAAACATCAACGAGTGTGATTACTATTCTTTCCAAGTGGAATGGGGGAGAATGCGAGGCTTAGGTCTCTCTCATGAAGTAACTTACTCGGTGATCCGGGTGCCATTTATACTCCGCAGATCAGTCACAAAGAAAGCTCCATCTTTATAGCTGATCCGGGCATGCAATTCCGCTACCTAATAGCGCAATGAGCTAAGAAAATCATCTAACTTTCAACAAGAACTTTTTGTGAAATACGCCCTTCATCTAGAAAATTTCATGCATATTTGTGACATATGAATGATTAATCTCTAGTCTTTTGGATCCTAAAACAGATCGACCATGAAATTCGTGCATCTGTTTTTAGTCTTTTCTAGCTCAAAATGCTCGTTTGGATGCTGCAATATTATATTAAGACGTGGACTGTGGATGACTTGACATGCGCCCCAATTGGTGACTTGTTAGAATAGACTAATCTTCAAATTTGTGTGCGTGTTGTTTTTAATTCAAGTCAGATTGAGTTGTTTGTTTGAACCTAATAACCCCAATAGGCAAATACCATATTAAGACAAGTTCTACCTTAAAATGTATACTTGATAGGAGGGTGATTCCAGACCTTATATGCAGTTGGTGCATCGAGAAAATTAACTGGATTTTTTTATTGAGGTTTTTTCAAGAATATTACTAAAGCAAAACCTATTTACAAAAAATGCCTAAAGTTTCTACGAGTATTATTGTCATGGTCGCTTAAATTTAAAAAATGCACATAAGTTACTTAACTTAAAGTTACTACTATAGTCACTATATTTAAGAGGTCACACTTTTGTAAACAACCTTTATTTTAATATAAAAAATATGTAACTATTTCTTTTTTATTTTCCTAACTTAATGGTGTGGGGTCATTATTATTCCTATATGGTAGTTTTTAATATCTTCTTTCCTAAATGGTCAAATGTTTGGGAAAAATCATATTTTTTTGTCACATGAGTAAAAATCCCTTGCACATTTATATTGATCTGGTAGTTCGGTGTAAATTTACTAAACAGTTTAAATTGTTTTCCCCAATACTCATTATTAATTTATATATGTAGTTTTGAACTATTAGCACTTCAGCAGAAAATATATATTGTATGAAGTCCTAAATTAACAATACTCTTGGGATAAAACAATTGGCTAGAACAATGAAAACAACAATACCCTTGGGATATATATGAAATCTGATCTTACCTCCGTAGAATTTATGACTACTGATGTTCCTGGAAAGTTTGGATGAGCTATAGAACTGAACCAAAAAAGACAAGAAATTAAAACCACTGATCTTGGTGGAGGCAGTATATCCCATTCATTATAGAAGAAAGCTTACAGTTTGTAAAAATCTATTAACATCAAATCTATGTTTTTCTTAAAAAGGCGAGGCATACCCAACAATGTAAGGCGTCTTTTCATCCCTGCTTAAGAAAATGGGTTCTGAAGCAGTACTTCCATTCTTGATTGGAGTTAAAACCCATCTACAAACAAATGCAGGGCGGGTAAGGCTACATAAATACCAATATGTACAATTAGGAAGAAACATTAACAGTTTGGTACAATTTTTTTGTGAGGGTGTCGAACAATTTGTTCACTCACTCCCCATTCATGGCGCGCTCCAATGCATCATTATCTTCAAACCATTTCCGCAGCTGATCATTTGCCTTCATTAAAATCAATAACGACTCATGAGTTCTGAAAATACTTTCATAATAATTTCATAGTAATGCAATTATATAACCCACTTCCACTGTTTTGTTTTAGTTGCAAGTTGCAACAATTTAACTTTCACATTCGCAAATATACGACTTTGACCATTAATATATTTATTCGTAAAAATTATAAAATAATGTTTTATATAAATATACATCGAGATAGATTTTTAACAATGTTTCATGTAGTAGGGTTTGTGTTTATATATAAAAAAATATGGTATATGAATAGAGCAAAAAGTCAAATATCGCTGCAATTGGTAAAGAATGAATATAGTATACATTATGGCTTGTCTATATATATTTGCTTAATGTGGTGGATTTTCTGTCTACACAAGGAATACTTCAATCTGAAGGAATAAAAAAACAACTTAAGCGGCCTAGAATGAGTCAATGGAAATTTTGATTTCCAATGGATCCAAAGACTCACTATTTTTTGCTTGGGAATATGATGGAATAGCAAAATGGCTCACTAAACTATCTACGCTTCTTTGTTGTGAAGTGGCAGTCACTCCATGCAACTTTTGATGTGGTTTTCATCATGTATTCATGAGTCATCCGGAAACAGTTTCTTTGTGCTTTAGTATAGGGTAAGGTTGCGTACATCCAACCACCTTACCTCACCGTAGGTGGGGAGCCTTTGTAGCACTGGGCTAATGTTATTGTTGTTGTTGCTTAATGTGGTGGATATATAACCACTAACACAACATACCTTATCTGACAACCTGCAATGTAATGTCCTGCCTTCAAGTTTTCCTCTGCAAAGCAATCAAATTTTATTGTAAAAAAGGAAATTCCCATCAAAACATTTTTATTTATGAGAACAAATTATTCTTTAAATAGAATAATAAGATCAATAACTGGGAAGAGATCACACCCATTGCCCCCAAGGACCCAACTAAGCATTATAGGCATTGCGAATTCCATAAAAATTCCTCCACCAACTCTTCCTGGGTGTGGTATCCTAAATTTGGTCAAGAACTGGAATACACACAAACAATAATTCACCATAAATGCATGAAAATTCCATATTCAAAGAAGACCACAAGGAAAAGAAAGGAAGTGCAAGAATTCATACGGATAATGGACCGAGTCCTACACCTAAGTAGGCCTTATATGCCACTGCCATCATTGCAGCCATTCTGGCCAGCCCGTGGATGATTCCAACTCTCAGCCTTCTTTCTCTCTCATAACTGGGAAAAATATAAAATAGAAGAGTATTGATGCCCTCTTCATTCCTATAAGTAAGCCCTATAGTAATAGTCTCAACTATAAGTAAAATCAACTTATAGTTGAGACTACGTAGAACTACATAAAATCAATGTTGGTCGCTGAAACTGATCAATGTAGGAAAGTGTGTTTCTCTTTCTTGAGTCTAAGTCGGATCAATTGTTTGTTTGAACTTAAAAAATTGTAATGCCATATTAAGACTTGAGGTTTCAGAGTCAACATAATCCATTAAGTTTCTTAAGGTCTTCTGTTTTTGTTTGCATCTTTATATTTAACCGGTGTGGGATGACTTAACATATAAGTCATACTCACCCATAGAAAATTTGGGTTTACCTTTTTAATGAAGAGGTAATATCTATAGGGGTCCCAGACTTCACACTTCGCCTCCAAGATTTGTCTAGTTCATGAGCTAGTTGATACCCATCCTGCAATTATGAATAAGGATATTGGTGTAGATACAGATGGGTCAACCTGGGGTATGGCCCACTCCAAAAATTATATGAATGAATTTTTTTCTGGCCAACTCCACCAAATTCAAATTTTTGGGGATCTGGACTACAGCTATGAGTAAGGATGTTCAAAAACTACACTGTTTTGATTCACTCTCAAAGAATGACCTAGGGAACAATATAAAATAGTTAAAAATTTAAAATAGTTACAACAATTTAATAAAGAAGTTACATTATTACCTCTATAGCCATGCATCCTCCTTGACCCAAATTTGGCTGCATAGCATGGATCGAGTCTCCGAGTAAGGTGACACGGCCCTTACCCCATGTGAAGGTTGGAGTTCTATCATAAATGTCACGCCGCAGAATCGCATCTTCATCCGTAGAAAGCAATACATCGATAACGTTGTCACACCACCCTTCAAATATTTTTAGCAATCTCTCTTTTTTACCTGCACTACGAAAGCCATTAAGTATGCAAAACTGTCCCCTATTAAAGGAAGGGCACATTGAAACAGATGATTGCATTTAGTAAGTTTCCAATTGGTAGAATTTCAATAGGTCGAGGTCATAAAGAAATCAGGCCTCCCAAACCACTCCAAATCCAACTCAATGCCTTATAAACTAATTTGTCTCCATTTGATATTAGTGTGGGACTTCTAAAAAATAACTAGAACTATGTTTACCAGTTGGCCTGTCTACTCCGCCAGCCGGTTCACTATGAAAACCGTACCACTGCATTTTCCCTCCACCCACATCGGAAGAAACAAAATATTGTTTGTTGCCAAGAAATATTCGGTACCTTCAGAAAAGAAAAGAAGTTCAAATTTACTTAATCCTGTTGGCCAAAAAAGAAGGTATCACTGTATCAGTCCAGAAAACACAATGAAGCTAAGAAGAAGAAATGCAGCAGTAGGGGATATACCCCACTGTCTCAATATCAGCAGGAACGAAATCTGCAATCCCTGTGTAGCAAGTATAGCCTGAGTAAGTAGCATCCTCCGGCCCAAACAAATGTTCTCTCACCTGTTTGTAATCAGATAAGGACATCATAAGGTTTTCTTAAATTAACGAAGGAACCATCTACAACCATGAATTCATTTTAAAGAGGCCGAAAATTCTAGTGGTCCAGAGTAGCATATCGCTTAAAAATAGACATATGAGTTTATAAAATCCAAGGTAAGACTGCTAATCATCTTTTAGTCATGTTTTCACAATGCACATTACGATCCAGTCAAGTATAAAGATACTAAAAATATAGACAAGTACAAAGATACTAAATTTTTTTTATATTTCCTGTTAAATTGACATTTTAATAGAGTCAGCCTAATTAGATATTATACATTGGTAAGTGTAATATAAAATACGAATCAACATATAAAGTTCTATACTACTTCTATATAAATTGAAAGTGTATGTCTTAATACACCCACAACCCGTTTATGAAATCCATCACTATTGTAGAAATTACCTTCGACCGTATTCCATCAGCACCAACTAGCACATCACCTTCATATTCCTGCCCATTCTCAAGAATTACTGTGACCTGAATTTGTGGAGATGAAGTTATTAAGAAGATAACAACTAGCCAAATAAATGGGGGGGTTAAACTAACAGCTTGGTTGACCTTATTTCCTTCATCCTTAAAGTTGACCACATTGCTTTCATTCATGATAATGTCTTCCCCTACAGCGCGGGCAAGGATGTGTTGCAAAGTCATGCGGCTGATAATTCTTGTTACAGGAAGTCCCCGTTCTACTGCAGGAGTGAACGTATCAAACTTGACAAACCTGACAACCAACTATTATCATTTTATGCTCGCACAAAAAACATAATATCGGGTTCCACCTACAACAAATCCCTCGGCCTTGATTAAAACATTACGCTTAAGCTGCAAAATAGGACCAATTATTATCCTGTTTTAAGTTTTGAGCTGTAAATAACGTGTTGAGTTGTGTAAGGAAGAGTTTGTTTAGTGTTTTGCAACTGGTGATATTAAATGTTGGGAATGTAGATATGTTTGGTACGAAACCGAGTGGGAGTAAGACTACTTTTCACTTGACTTCTCCTTTTGTGTATAGCCAATAACCTTCAAATGCAGTAGCTCCGCTATGTGTAGTGAGCAGTGGCATAGCTAGGAGTGCAAATTAGTTGGGCTAGTACAAAGATTTTTTTCGGAAATATTTTAAAATAAATTTTTTTGCACTAATATTTAAACATTTTTTTAAATTTGGGGTGGACCGGAGCCTAACATTACCCCCTTACCTTCTTTAAAAAAAAACATTTACCCCCTTGGCCCCTTACCTCCGCACATGGCTATGAGCATGAAACATTGATGTCATCATCCTACAGGAGTGGAAGACTTGGGGGAAATGGGAGCAAGCACCCAGCTTCCGTAATGACACCAATTTTGTGCCAAAACATTATTTTAGTCTGGTTTCTAAATATGAAATTTTCAACTATTCTAGACCTTGATCAAGCATTCACCCGCTAATACCATCTAACCAACTTATTTTTTTACTTAAACTACAATTTCAATGTAATAATTAACTCCCTAACTTCTTGTACCAGCTCTATGTCTCTTCGACGAATCATACAATTTTCAACTATTCTAGACCTCGATCACACAATGCCTATTCGACGAATCATATTGTGGTAGTGGTCATTAAGACATTTGAAGTGATCGAATTGAACTTGACATTGAAGGAGAAGGCGTTCTAAATTGGTGCACATAGTCACATAGATGCCGATGAAACTGATTTTAACTTTCAAAAGCTAAAATTGTTTTTGAGTGCACTCTGAACAATGAAAATTGTTATGTAAAAACTTTTAAAATTAAAAGCACATCCAAATGAACATAAGACATTTTCAAAAGTTCTTTCTTCAAACTCAACTTTAACTAGCTTTTAAAAAGTCCATTTCCCTAACTGTTTTTTTTATTGCCAGTCAAAGGCATTATATATGAAAAATGGCAATAATATGATTACAATAAAAAATAATACATAAATAAATGACATTCCATATGCAGAAATACATTCAAGATTTGGTCAGTCCGGACTGACGGGAACCGCCATCCAGCTAAGACCGTTTGAGGGCCTCTGAGGTCGAATTTTTTGATTAAATTTTGTGAGCATGTTTTTCATGAAGTGTAGAATATTCAAACAAAATTTCAGTTTGAAATTCAATCGGGAAGTGAGTTAAATAAATTGTTGAAAAATAGTGCACTTTATATACATATGTAAAGCACAATGTTTTTCCATAATTTATTTAACTGACTTCCCGATTGAATTTTAAGATAAAATTTTGTGGACATAATCTAAACTTGATGAAGAACATTCTCTTAATAATTCGACAAAAAATTCCACTTGGAAGACCCTCAAACGGGATTGGCCGGACGGCAGTTCTTGTGAGGCCCATATCTCTACTCATATTTTCGATATTAAGTTCAACTTTACACTTGTGTTATGATTGTGGTGTTTTTACGGTGATCATAGTGTACATTTTTATCCATATCTCTATTGCACTAATACTATAGGAACAAGGCCTATAAATAGGAGTTGTTTCGAGTAGAAATAGTTTTCCCAAAACAGGGCATTTTTACAAGTTTTCGATGCACTTTCATGACTAAAGTAGTTTATTTTTATGTGGTGGTGGAAAAAATTGGTTTAATTACTGTTGAAGTATGTGTCCACCCTGAATTTCTATAAAACAATAAAATACTATATTAAGATCCGACTACTCATTTTCAGTGGCGGACGTGCTATTGTTCAAGGGTGTTCAGGTGAACACCCAAAATTTTGAAAATAAGATGTAAAAATACATGTATAGAATTGATATAATAGTTTATATAGTGTATTTTTTATACAGTGTTTGTTACCCTTACCCTTTTTCCTAGTTTTTTGTGGTTGAAAAAATTACATTCCTTCAATTGTGGTATCGAAAAATATTATTATTCAATATTTTAACCATAATTTTTTTGAACACCCAATTTCGGGTTGCAAGATCCGCCACTGCTCATCTTAATAGGTTAACTTTTTAGGATGAAACCCGAATCATAACACCAAAATGTCACCATGTTTTTAGTCAGGATGCTAAATTGTTGGCACATGTAGAGCCACTAGATTTTAAATCAGATGCTCGAAATTAATTTTAATATTGCATGGAAAGGTGAATATTTATTTCAACCAAAACCTATATGTACATGCCGTAAAAACCTATTTGCATATATTGTGCGTGTGCGTATATATATATATATATATATATATATATATATATATATATATATATATATATATATATATATAAATAAATAAATAAATAAATAAATAAATTGATATATATGGATATATATGTGTGTGTAACTGTGCGTGTATGGATGCATATATACACTATTAAATTTTATTATGAGAAAATTTCTATTGGTAGGACAAAAGCATAGTATTCTTCCAAAAATAAGACCATATGTTTGGTTTTACTCAAATAGGACTACTCATTTCATTACCCCTAATTTAAATAATTAATCTAATTAATTCCCCCTAGTTCTCTTGCATAGCCAAGGTCATTCTGTTGTATGGGAGTCTGTTGTTGGCGGATTAGTCTCTGATGGGGGCAGCGGCGGATTCCGACTGCGGTGACGGTGTAATCCTAGCAGATCGGGGGGAAAATTCTGGATCCAGCATTCTGTCGACAAACGGCGGTCCGACGACCTCGGGGGCAACAGCTCCAACCCTACAAGGAGCTTTTTGACCAATCACAAATAAAAAGCCCGATTTATAGAATCTTAAACTACTTGGTCTTATTTTTGGAAAATGGATGAGTTTTAGTCCTATTTGAAGTATTCTCCCTTTTATTATTTGTAATTTTATATACAAGAGTATTATCTTTAAATTTTATCATTTCAAACTGAATAGATAATTATTCAACTATCTATACAAATATTGTAATAAAAAAGTGACAAATTTTCATTATGAGTTGTTATCATTACCAAAGAGCACTGCAAGTGTAAACTAATACTTCATTTGTTTGTAAATAAATGCAACATTAATTTTACATTATTCACATGTTCTGCTTTGATTATGCTTTATATATTAATGTAATAATTACTAATTTGGAAAAAATATTTTTTATTGATTATTAATTTTTTTACTAATAGAACGAATGAAGTATAATAACTATTTTAAAAGAAAATTTTGAAATTTTACAATAAGTTTTATAATATACTCGCTCCGTCCCAAAAAGAGGATCTCGTCACTTTGACTTAACAAACTTACTAATAAAATGAGGATAAAGTGGAAATTTAGGGTTGTGATTGAGCCAGAAAATGGTGAATGAATGTTAATCACACAAGTCATTTCTTAAAGGTGGGAAAATTGGGACACCACATAAATGCAAGTGGAAAGAATTTTATCAAGGGGAGGTAGTGTTTTTACAGGGCCGGCTTGACCCTGTGCGAATCACACAAATGAGGTCTTTTATTAAATAAAATGCATAGATCTAATGTGTAGACGTATGGTTTGCTTTTATTTGGAGTTGAGCCGTTCGGTGTATAAAAATGTTTCAAAAATGCAAATGGGCCCCTATTAATAATTTAAACAATTACTTTATAGAGTACTCTTCTGGTCAGGAATTCCTGACCGGAACCGCCGTCCGGACGGCTGCTTTCGGGCCCTTCCCCGTGAAATTTTTTGATGAAATTTTTATGGCATGTTCTTCATCAAGTCTAGTTTATCCACACAAAAATTTCAGCTAAAAATTCAATCGGGAAGGCCGTCATATGATTTTTGAAAGATAACTGCGCCGGAATATATATATATAAAACGCATTTAACTTCCAAAAATTATTTGACGACCTTCCCGATTGAATATTTAGCTGAATTTTTTCTGGGATAAACTAGATTTGATGAAGAACATGTCATAAAAATTTCATCAAAAAAGTCAACCGGGAAGACGCTGAAACGGCACCGTCCGGACAGCGGTTCTGGTCCGGACTTGAATATATCTCTACTTTATATATATATATATATATATATATATATATATATATATATATATATACACTATTTAAATTTAAAAAAAAAATGGGCCTGCTATTTTTGGAGGCCCTGTGCAGTAGCTCAGCTTGCACAGCCTTATCTACGGCCCTGTGTTTTTAAATACTTTAATCAATAAAATGTAGTTGAAATAGAGTACGCAAATATTATAAAACTCAAAAAAAAAAATATTATAGAAAATGGGAAGTATTATTAGAATAACTTATAGTTCATGAAATTGACATTGAAAGAGTTCATAGCACATTTCTTGTTATGTGAACTAACTTTTACCAAACCAACTTTCACCAGATCAACTTTCACGCAGTTACTTCTGCCAAACTGAAATTTAAAACATATTTATTGTGTATGGGTAATTTAGCTTCATGTTCACTTTAGCCATATAAAAGTATACCCTAATATACTTTTTTTATTAAAGTTTTCTATCCTCATACTACGTATTTCATTAAAATATAGGGGCTTCAAGAATTGATAGTAAGACCATGGTTCTAAAAATCGGTCTAGAGTCGCTAGGCGGACGGTGGTCGGGCGCCCTGATTTCGCTCTAATCGGTGGGAAAAATCGTTTCGGGGCCTAGGTGGGCTAGACGGTGGCTAGGCGGCTTGGACTTAATATTTTCCCGAACTAACTTTTTTTCCGTTTTATCTTTAAAATATCATGTGATCAAGAAGTATTCTATTCCTATATACGTAGTAATTTATTTTCATATTCTCACAATAAAAAATTAAATTTTAAATATAAAAAACTTTTTAGAATGTATTTTAAGATTTTTAAAGGGTAAAAAACAGAAATATCTTAATTTATTTATTAATTATTTTATTATTGATGATTCTACTATAAAAAACTTAACATCTAATGATTATATGAGCTATTTATATTGTAAAAATATTATAAAATTAGTAGTAATATAATTAAAATTCAAAGGAAATATAAAGAAAACAAAAAATAGAGGAAAACTACCAAGGCGCCCGCCTAGGCTGGCTAGGCTCTAGGGGGCCAGACACCGCACGACTAGGGCCTAGTGCCTTTTAGAAGGCCGAGTAAGACCTTAGAAACTTTAAAATTACAATTGTAAAGTTAGATCAATTTAAACATAAAAGCCCTAAACTGTATGTTGATAACAAAAATTGCCTTCAAATTTCTGTTAAAACAAGTAGACACAAAAATGGTAAGGTTGAAACAGTTTGGGGGTATATGTATGTGTGTGTTAATGTATTAATACTGGGCAGTATTTTGGGAGGGCATGACAAAACAGTTTCCATCATTTTTGCTATGCTAAATTTGGAATTTGGGGAGAAAAACAGTAACTAAACAGAAAAGCAATGAATCCGCAGAATTAAGTACAGTAATGAAAGAAGCTCACCAATTTCCAGAAATACCATCAACCAAACCATTAATCCGGTCGCCGGTAATGCAGCCGGCACACATAATCTCATCGGCAACATCCATATCTATGGCTTCCAAAGCCGCCAAAGCATTGCTCTGTATCTGAATCGGACCTCTGTACTTACCCTCCCCTCTTATCGCACTCAGATCCCTCTCAAACACCACCACCTCAAACCCCTTCTTCTTCGCCGCCAGAGCAAAAACCAAACCCCCTATCCCGCCGCCCGCCACCAGTATCTTCACCTTCTTCCTCTCCGGCTCCCCCTCAGGCTCCACAGCAGTAGCCTTCACTCTTCGGGTCACCCTCTTCCGGGTTTCTTGGTTTCTGAAACACAGACTGCTCTGTAAAGTAACAGAGCACAGCTCTGGTGCTGGGAATTCTCTCTGTGTCAGATGGGGAAAATGGGTTCTTGAAAACAAAACAGTTGAGCTATGAATTGAACTGTGGGGTAATACTAAAGAAGCAGACATTCTGTAGTTTTTCTCCGATAAAGTTTGGATCTTTCGTTTTCTTTGAAGCTTAATATAGGTTATAAGCGAGGAAATTAAGGAGGGGGGAGAAGTTGGGTGGAAATGTCAAGCTGTGTGAGGGAGAGAAGACGAGAAAAGAGGCGATATCCATCGGAGGGCAAGGTGCACCATTTGTGGAGATTTCGTGGACACATGGCAATCTTGTGTTGAGCCTACGGGTATAACTCAGCTAGGAAAAGGGAAATGATCTTTTCATTTATTTCTATTTTTCCCGATTGTAACGTGTGGTTGTAGTTTGTCCTGTTTGATTGCGTCTCTGATGTCTTGTCTATGGAATGATCATCGTTCCAAAAGGTGACCCGACACGATTTATGGCAAAATCATGGTAACTGAGACCGTTCAATTATAGTAGTACTTATACTCGTGCGCACCAGAGGTCCGGTCTAATACGCAGGAGATTAACTTACACATGGTTTCTGCGGATTTCGAATCTTGGTCATTGTTCTAAATTTCTCATCACTGAATCAACTGATATACTCGTGTTGGTCAGAGAATAATCATCAATAATATAGGAAGCGCAGCTATCGCCCCTCAAATCCTACCTCCTTTTTATGTTCGGTTTTTATGTAAAACCTACTTTCCTTTCTTCCTTTGAAAAAATCTATTTGTACACACCATTGGTACACACTGTTACACACTCATGTCTGTAAATCTTTTTTTATGTCTGCTCTAGACAAAACGTATTTTACAAATACGTTTTGTCTGGGACAGACATAAAAAACGTCTCACAGACATGAGTGTGTAAGAGTGTGTACCCCAAGTCTGATTCTCTTCCTTTTATGTGTTTCTATTTTACAAGTAGGTGTGAGTATTTGCATGAATTTTGTTATATGTAGACTCTCTCTTACATTTAGGTGTACACCTTATATAATCATCCAATTTTACTTTCATTCCTCCCCATTTTTTCTTCTCTCCTTCGATCCCCTCTTGTATCATACTCTTTCCGTCCCGCAATTAAGTTACCACTTTTCTTTTTGGGTAGTCCCTAAATTAAGTTCACACTTCCTTACTTTCCTTATTTGGCAAATTATCTACATCAAAACAATGTCAAACAGTGCAAAACAGTGTCCAAACAGTGCAAAACAGTGTCCAAACAGTGCACTCCACAGTAAAGTCAAATTTATTTTCTTAATATGTGTGAAGTCAAACCAGGAACTTAATTGGGTGATGGAGGGAGTACAAATTAAGGGTGCGCATGGGTCGGGTAGGACCGGATAGTGTATATTTTTAGAAGCCGCAGGTTTCTTTGAACGGTTCGGTCCGGGCCGGATAGAGCAATTCCAAAAACAGGAACCAAACCTTACCGACCAATTTGAAACGAGTCGGTTCGGTCCGGTTTTTCAGTTCCTATTTACATTGAAGTATTTTTAAGATACATTATTTATGCCAATCCTGAATAATTCTGTGGTAAAAATAACAATTGTTCAAAATAATTGAACAACTTCAACAACAAAAAAATCAGCTTAGTCCCTTATGAATAAATAAAAGTTTAAGACACATAGTCATGCTTTATACGTAGTATTATGTAATAAAAGTTCACATATTAAATAATCAATAGCAAAAATTATATCTTATTCGAAGAAAATGAGTCACTGAACAAATAAATGTCACCCGTATGTTTGAATAAAATTTCACAGTAAGTTGTTGATTGACAAGAGTACATACGTACAAGTTTGTCGCTACGGTGAAAACCCTACGGCGGCCATAATGAAACTCTACGGCGGCCATAATGAAACCCTATGGCGGCGACGTCGGTTCTAAGCAGGTTCTGCGGCATCGGATTTAGTACGTGACTCGACGTCATCAGGTCAGTTTGTTAGAGTTCTGTCCCGGAGTTTTCTTCCGGAGTTCTTTTGTCTCCCTCGTGTGTGGGAAGGTTTTTGTCCTCGTCGGTTTTCAACCTGGTCGAGAGAGTTTTGTATTTCGTTCTGGAATGGGCTGCGTCAGCTGGAATTGTCGGGGCTTGGGGAATCTTGCCACAGTCCAGGTTCTCCAAGATATTTCGTCGACATACCATCCGTCGATAATTTTCTTTATGGAAACCCTCTGTGAAAGTGACCGTATCAGTCAAGTTGGTAAATCGATTGGCTTTGAGAAGTGGTTTTGCGTGACATGTGATGGGCGGAGTGGAGGGCTGGCTCTATTCTGGAAGAACGAGATAACGGTGGATATAATGGTTGCCTCACATAACTTTATAGATGACATAATTACGATGGAGTCTCAAAACCTACCATGGAGATTGACAGGGTTCTATGGTTTTCCTGAACGCCAACGACGGATGGAGTTGTGGGAGCTATTACAAAATCTGGCCACGACAAACAATATCCCATGGGCGGTTCTTGGAGATTTTAATGATATCTTGCATGCACACGAGAAGAGAGGACGATGTCCCCAGCCTCCTTGGATGCTTACGGGATTTCAAAATGTCGTATGGGGAGCGGTTTAGTGAATTTCCCTTTCGACGGATATCAGTTCACTTGGGAGAGGGGGCGAGGCACGAAGAATTGGGTCGAAGAGAAGCTTGACCGTATTCTTGTGAATGACGGATGGCTGGATATTTTTGGTGAGGCTTGGGCTACCTCTATTTCGGGAAGTAATAGTGATCTTCTCACTCTATTTTTGAAGTTTAGCCAAAAAGCAGGGAAACACAGAAGATCCAAATTCAAGTTTGAAATCATTGGCTAAAGGAGAAAGAATGCCGCAGTGTGGTAGAACGTGCATGGAGCTCATGTGAGGATCAAATTCTTCTCGAAAGGCTACAGTTTTGTGGAGTCGAGTTATGCAAAATGGGGCAAACATCTTCGTCGGGGTTTTCAGCGATGCATTAAAGGCTACAAAAGGCAGATGGAGCGTAGCAGAGGTCGAACGGATGCAGCAGGGTTGGGTGAATTTGCTAGAGCAAAGGTTTGTTATTTAGAACTTTTGGAAAAGCAGAATTCTTTCTGGAAACAGAGGGCGAAAGAATTTTGGTTACAACAGGGAGATATTAATATTAAATATTTTCATAACTCGATCAAGCAAAGGAGGCGGAAAAATTTAATGAAGGGTGTGTACTCTGATTCGGGTAGATGGGTGACAAGTCAAGGGGAGCTGAGTAATATAGTTATTAATTATTTTGAGGAGCTCTTTACCGCAGGAAGGAGTCGGGACCTCTCAGGTTTTGACAATGTCCGAAAAGTGATCAGTGACAACCAGAATACTATCCTTTTACGTGACATAACGGAGACCGAGGTGAGGGCCGCGGCGTTCAGTATGCACCCGGATAAGGCTCTAGGACCAGATGGTTTGAACCCGGGTTTTTTCAAGCCTTTTGGGATGTTGTGGGACTAGATGTGGTGGATTTTTGTGTTAGATTGTTTAACACAGGGAGGGTACCGGAGGATTATAATGAGACTACTATCGTGCTGATACCGAAGAAAGATAATCTTGTGGCTATGGGTGATTGGAGGCCGATCGCGTTATGCAATGTTGCTTATAAAATATTTGTGAAGATCTTAGCGAATCGGCTCAAAGGCTTATTACACGAAATTATTTCTGAAAATCAAAGCGCTTTCATACCCGACAGATCTATAATTGATAACATTATAGTTGCTTTTGAAATTCAACACTTTATAAAGCGCAAAACACAGGAAAAGGAAGGCTATGTGGCCCTAAAACTCGACATGAGCAAGGCATACGACAGAGTTGAGTGGGGTTTTTTAAAGCATGTTATGGAGTGCTTCGGATTTAGTCCACGATGGACTAGTTTAATCATGCAGTGTGTGGAGACGGTCCGTTATCATATTCAGATTAATGGGGAGCTTTATGGACCAATTATTCCTTGTCGGGGATTAAGGCAAGGGGACCCACTATCACTGTATCTGTTTATTATGGTGGTGGAAGGAATAAGTGCCATGCTACGGACGAAAGAAGAAGAGGGAGTTCTTCAAGGAATTCCAGTGGCTCGTGGGGCACCGACAGTTTCCCATTTATTATTTGCTGATGATAGTTTCTTTTTCTGCAGGGCAAATGAGCGGGACTGTTTTATTATCAAAGAGTTACTTGCCCAGTATGCATCAGTCTCGGGTCAGGTGATAAACTTTGATAAATCTAATGTGCGTTTTAGTGCAAATGTGGCTTGGGATGATAGAGATTATTTATGTAATATTTTTGGAGTTGGGGAAGACAGAGGTGGGGGCAAGTACTTGGGGCTACCTTTGATGGTTGGGAGAAATAAAAAAGAAATTTTCGGCTATATCAAAGAAAAGGTTATTCAAAGAATCCAGATCTGGAATAGTAGGTTCTTATCTAAAGTTGGGAGAGAAGTATTAATTAAAACGGTTGCTCAAGCTATGCCCCAATATGCCATGAATGTGTTCTTATTGTCAGTTGAATTATGTCGTGATATTGAAAAAACTATGAATGCTTTTTGGTGGAGAGGGCATGCTTTCAAAGGAAAATGAATTAGGTGGAAAACGTGGGGTGACCTGTGTATCCCGAAATCACAAGGAGGGTTGGGATTAAGAAAACTCCGCGAGTTTAATATCGCTATGTTGGGTAAGCACGTATGGCGTATCCTAAAATATCCAAATTCGTTGGTGGCTAAGATTCTAAGAGCAAAATACTTTACCCACGTGAATATTTTGGTAATGGGAATTCAACAAGAGTATGGAAAGATAATTGGCTATATGACACTGGAGGGTGCAGGTCAGCCAGGAATGAAATAGCCGGGTTGGAAATTATTTATGTTAATTCTCTTATGCTCAATGATGGAACGGGTTGGGATTTCGACTTATTGGAGGATCTTTTTTAGAGGAAGATAAAAATCTTATTGCTAGTATTCCTTTGCGACCGAGATAGATGGAGGATGAACTGATTTGGGCGGATGATACTAAGGGAGTTTATTCAGTTCGAAGTTGCTATAAAAGACTCAATAGATGTGTACAACCGGAGGTGGGCTTGGCGAAAATTTGGAAACTTGAGATACCACCGAAGGTAAAACTATTTTTTTGGCAAGCTTGTGTGGATTGATTACCTACCAAACAACGATTAATTCAACGGCGAGTCCCGATGTGGCCGAAGTGCCTGATTTGCGGGCATGAGGAGGAGAGCTTGCTGCACATCTTCCGAGATTGCACATTAGCGAGGGCTGTGTGGCGCAACAGGGGCTGGAAATTCTGGCATGCCGCA